CATTCTTTTCATATTCTTTTCCATTATGGTTTTTTTTGAAATGTCAATTTCCAATTGTTGATTGCCTTCATATAAAAATAAAATTGGTTTTTGTATACTGACCTTGTAGCCTGCAACCTTGCTAAACTTACTTATGTCAGTTCTAGTACCTTTTTTGTAGATTCTATAGGGTTTTCTACATAGATGGTGTATCTTCTGGGAATAAAGACATTTTTTCATCTTCCTTTCTAACCTGGATACCTTATATTTCTATTTCTTGCCTTACTGCACTGACTGGAACCTCCAGAACAATTGAATAGAAGTGGTGACAATGGACATTTTGGCCTTGTTCCTGATCTTAAGGGGAAGCATTCAGTCTTTCACCATTAAGTATGCTGTTAGGTGATGTTAACTGTAGGGTTTTCTAAATGCCATTTGTCAGGATGAGGAAGTTCCCTTGTATTCCTAGCTTGCTGAGAGTTTAAATCCGAAATGGATGTTGGATTTTATCAAATATTTTTTTCTGTATCTATTGATAGAATCATATGATTTTTCTATGTTGGTCTGTTAATATGGTCCATTATATTGATTGGTTTTCAAATGTTAGACCGACCTAACATTCCTGGGGTAAACTCTGCTTGGTAATGATTATATATTATTGGATTTGATTTTTTTTTTATTTTGTTAAGTACCTTTGCTCCAAAATGATAGCTTGAATACGATGAGATGGATAGAGTTGGGTATTTTTTAAATTACTGATTTCCAATTTTATTTGTTCATTATATCTATTCTTTGTTACATGTTGAGAGTTCTTTTTGTTCAATAAATGATCCTGTTTATGTAAATGTTCTATGTGTGCTTGATAAGAATGTAGTCTCTCATTTTTGGATACAGCGTTCTTTTTTTTTAAAATTAATTAATTAATTTGGTGCACCGGGTCTTAGTTGCAGCCTGTGGGCTGCTTAGTTGCAGCAGGCGGGCTCCTTAGTTGTGGCATGTGAACTCTTAGTTGCGGCATGCATGTGGGATTTGGTTCCCTGATCAGGGATCGAACCCAGGCCTCCTGCATTGGGAGCGCGGAGGCTTATCCACTGCGCCACCAGGGAAGTCCCCAGGGTTCTTTTTTTTATTAAAGTATAGTTGATTTACCATTTTGTGTTAGTTTCTGGTGTGCAGCAGAGTGATTCAGTTTTATATATACATACACACACACATACACACACACATACATATATATAAGAATATATGATGAACCTAGGACAGGACAGGAATAAAGACGCAGACTTAGAGAATGGACTTGAGGGCATGGAGAGGGGGAAGGGTAAGCTGGGACAAAGTGAGAGAGTAGCATTGACATATGTCACTACCAAATGTAAAATAGATAGCTAGTGGGAAGCAGCTGCATAGCACAGGGAGATCAGCTTGGTGCTTTGTGACCACCTAGAGGGGTGGGATAGGGAGGGTGGGAGGGAGGTGCAAGAGGGAGGGGATATGGGGATATATGCATACATACAGCTGATTCGCTTTGTTATACAGCAGAAGCTAACACAGCATTGTAAAGCAATTATACTCCAATAAAGATGTTAAAAAAATATATTCTTTTTCATAATCTTTTCCATTATAGTTTATTACAGGATGTTGAATATAGTTCCCTGTGCTATACAGTAGGACCTTGTTTTTCACATATAGTAGTTTGTATCTGCTAATTCCAAACTCCTGATTTTTCCTTGCCTCATCCCTTTCCCCTTTGGTAACCATAAGTTTATTTTCTGAGTCTGTGAGTCCGTTTCTGTTTTTGGATACAGGGTTCTTAAATGTCCTTTATATCAAGCATGCTAAATGTGTTTATCTTCCTGTGTCCTGAGTAATTGTTGTCTGGTCTCACTCTTTTTTTTTGTATTTTTTTTTTGGCTCTACTGTGTGGCTTGTGGGATCTTAGTTTCCCGACCAGAAATTGAACCTGGGCCCCAGCAGTGAAAGCTCTGAGTCCTTCCCAGGGAAATCCCTGGTCTCACTCTTTTTTTTAAATTTAAATTTTATTTATTTATTTTTGTCTGCCTTGGGTCTTCGTTGCGGTGCGCGGGCTGCTCATTGCAGTGGCTTCTCTTGTTGCAGAGCACGGGCTCTAGGCGCACAGGCTTCAGTAGTTGTGGCACGCGGGCTCTAGAGTGCAGGCTCAGTAGTTGTGTTGCACGGGATTAGTTGCTCCGAGCATGTGGGATCTTTCGGACCAGGACTCGAACCCGTGTCGCCTGCATTGGCAGGCGGATTCTTAACCATTGTGCTACCAGGGAAGTCCCTGGTCTCACACTTGAATAGTGGTTTAGTTGAGTACAGATTTGTCAGCAGCTGTTTGACAATACTGTATACCATTATCTTCTGACCACTGGTTTTGCTAGTAAGACATGTTTTTTGGTTTCATTAGTTCCTTTGTAGGTAATCAACTTTTCCCCCCTCTGGTTGTTTTTATTATTTTGTTTTTAATCTCTGGTGTTCTGTAATTTCACAACAGTGTGTCTAGGTGTGGATTCATTGTTATTTACTGTGTATAGGAATTGGAGTGCTTCCTTACTCTGAGGACTCGTATCTCTCTTAAATTTTGGAAAATTCTCAACCATTATCAGTTTCTTTTCCACACCTCTTACTGGAAGTATATTGGACCTTATTATTTGATCCTCCATGTCTCTTAACTTCTGTTTCATATTTGAAAAATCACTTTATAATTTCCTTTAGCATATTTATTTCCCAATTCACTATTTGTTTCTTCTTCTGCATCAGATCTGGTTGTTTTTCATTTTGAATCTAATGACTACCAGTTCCTTCAAGTTCTCTTATGTTCTTTTCAATATGTCTAGGTTTTTTTAGAGTTCTGTTCTTTCATTATGGATTCTATTCCTTTATCCCTACAATAATTTTAAATATTGTTATTTTTAGTCTTCTTTTGATTGTTCTACTCTCTCAGCTCTTCTTTTCATTGTGTTAACTGATTTTCCCTCATGGTGAAATGTTTCCTCACGTTTCCTCTGTAATTAGTTATTGTGCATTTTGTGAATTCATCTTCTGCAGAGGTTATTTTCTGTGAGTGTCTCATTCCTAGGTTGTTGAGTGGCTTTACAATGGTTTCTGCCAAGGAGTTTTCAGTGGTTTAGGACTAAATTTTTCCATTAATTTCCTGACTTGGGATTCCCTTACCACATTTTGGACTATACAGCTACATGTGTCTTGGGGTTTCAGTTTTTCATTAAATTTTATTTTTCCCACCTAGAACCTGGAGTGGGTGACATGCTTCCTTGCTTCTTCCATGACCTAGGTCCTTTTATTCATGGAGGGAACAGCCCGAAGGGCCCCAGATACACCTAGGGTCTCATTTCCAGTTCCTAAATTCATGAAGGCCTAAGGCCACATTTTGTTCTAAACTGGCATTAAAACCCAAGTTCCACAGGCCTATATCCAGGTCAGATACCAGTTTTGACCTGTCAGTTCATGCACTTATTATTTAGGTTTCATGTTTTCTTTTTGTTTCGGGCACCTGAGAATTTCTCTTTCCC